AAAGTGAACGGAATCTCACTTGGACAATTTTTCCTTGCCGCTTCTGGTGACAACTGTGAAATTTTGGACTTTCCATCAATTTCTGTCTCATGCATAATGGTCTAGAGCAGTGTTTCTCAACCTTTTTTCAATCAAGGCACCCTTTAAGATTATAGACAGTCCCGAGGCACCCTTTAAAATTATGAACAGTGTTGAGGCACCCCATTTTAGAATGGGGTGCCGCAAGACTGTCCATAATTTTAAAGGGTGCCTCGGGACTATCCATAATTTTAAAAAAGAACCTCATTCTAAAATGTAAAAAACTATTCTACTAGGTTTATATCATGCAGCAACATCCACACATGTAGGACACCCAACGTTAGGTGATTTATTCTTCCAGAAAAAAACACTTTTGCACACTGGTACTGACTAGTATTCTAATGTTTCTCTTCCCCCTCAGTTTTTCCCCATCACTGAGCTAATGTGATCCCAGCACTGATGGAGAGGGGCAGGGGAGGGTCAAGCTAGGATGCTGTGCAGGTAGCTGACATCCTCCTTATCAACTGATGATGCCATTGGTTGTCAGGACACCAGGGGCTAGAAGGTCCTAAATGGTGCACAATGAAAACCTGTGGCTTTGTGTAACTAAAAAGTAGGTTTGTTCCACCTGCTGGCTTGTATACAAGTTTTGGGCAATTTTTAGACATTTTGCCAAGGCACCCCTATAGAAACCTCAAGGCACCCCTAAAGAAACCTCAAGGCACCCCAGGGTGCCTGGGCACCCTGGGTGAGAAAGGCTGGTCTAGAGGACAAATAGAAAGGGTGAATCGCCCTAATGGTAAAAAAGCAAATAAAACCTGACAGAGGTCAAACCCCTCATCACTCTGTTCAAAGTTACAAAAAAAGAAAAGTTTAGGCTATACATATTGTATACTGTATCCCAAACATTTTGTAGGACTGCTTGTGGGTGGGTGCAGCGAGTTGTGCCGAGAGTAATCACACTACGTCCAATTGCAATTAACAAAACTTTTTTGCAGTAGTGGCACAAGACACAAACAGCCCAGTGGGAAGGCACGCAACAGGGAACACTCACAGTTCTGTGCAGCAATGTAAAGCGGAGCAGATTCTGATGTGCTGACAGTGTCTTGGTGCTTGGCCATGTCAAATTGGGAGGATTCCTGGAAAGGATAGCATGTCCTTGACCTATCCCTACTCATCTGGAACCTTTCCCTGCCACTATTCACCTTCCCTGACAGATAGGTGACCTGTTCCTACATTGTTTACTCACAAAGAGCGTGCTAAGACCTGGAGCCAGGCAACCTGTTCCTACATTGTCCACTCACAAAATGCATGTCAAGACCTGGAGCCAGGCGACCTGTTCCTACATTGTCCACTCAGAAAATGCGTGCCAAGACCTGGAGCAGGCAACCAGTTCCTACATTGTCCACTCACAAAATGCGTGCCAAGACCTGGAGCTAGACAACCTGTTCCTACATTGTCCACTCACAAAATGCATGTCAAGACCTGGAGCCAGGCAACCGGTTCCTACATTGTCCACTCACAAAATGTGTGCCAAGACCTGGAGCCAGGCGACTGGCTCCTACATTGTCCACTCACAAAATGTGTGCCAAGACCTGGAGCCAGGCGACCTGTTCCTACATTGTCCACTCACAAAATGCGTGCCAAGACCTGGAGCCAGGCTGGAGCCGAAAGTGCCAAGACCTGGAGCCAGGCAACACATTCCTACATTGTTTACTCACAAAATGCGTGCCAAGACCTGGAGCCAGGCAACCGGTTCATACATTGTTTACTCACAAAATGCGTGCCAAGACCTGGAGCCAGGCAACCTGTTCCTACATTGTCCACTCACAAAATGCGTGCCAAGACCTGGAGCCAGGCAACCTGTTCCTACATTGTCCACTCACAAAATGCATGTCAAGACCTGGAGCCAGGTGACCTGTTCCTACATTGTCCACTCAGAAAATGCGTGCCAAGACCTGGAGCCAGGCAACCGGTTCCTACACTTTCCACTCACAAAATGTGTGCCAAGACCTGGAGCCAGGCAACCTGTTTCTACATTGTCCACTCACAAAATGCGTGCCAAGACCTGGAGCCAGGCAACCGGTTCCTACATTGCCCACTCAACAATGTGTGCAAGACCTGGAGCCAGGCGACCTGTTCCTACATTGTCCACTCACAAAAATGCGTGCCAAGACCTGGAGCCAGGCAACCGGTTCCTACATTGTCCACTCACAAAATGCGTGCCAAGACCTGGAGCCAGGCAACATGTTCCTACATTGTTTACTCACAAAATGCGTGCCAAGACCTGGAGCCAGGCAATCGGTTCATACATTGTTTACTTACAAAATGCGTGCCAAGACCTGGAGCCAGGCAACCTGTGCCTACATTGTCCACTCACAAAATGCGTGCTAAGACCTGGAGCCAGGCAACCTGTTCCTACATTGTCCACTCACAAAATGTGTGCCAAGACCTGGAGCCAGGCAACCTGTTTCTACATTGTCCACTCACAAAATGCGTGCTAAGACCTGGAGCCAGGCAACCTGTTCCTACATTGTCCACTCACAAAATGCATGTCAAGACCTGGAGCCAGGTGACCTGTTCCTACATTGTCCACTCAGAAAATGCGTGCCAAGACCTGGAGCCAGGCAACCGGTTCCTACATTGTCCACTCACAAAATGCATGTCAAGACCTGGAGCCAGGTGACCTGTTCCTACATTGTCCACTCAGAAAATGCGTGCCAAGACCTGGAGCCAGGCAACCTGTTCCTACATTGTCTACTCACAAAATGTGTGCCAAGACCTGGAGCCAGGCTCTTAAATAGACTCTGCCTGACCCAAGATGGCCACCAAAGACATATGGGACAGCTGCATTCAACTGTATTGCTTCCCAGTGAACCTGGAAACCATAAAAGAGTAGGTTCCTCATGATTTCATCTCCACCTGCAATGCCACTGTGGTTTGAGCTCCACCTGCAGTGGAGAAATGAGACTGTACCTGCCTACATGCTTTTTAAAATAAGAGGTATTACCGGTAGGATACTTTCTGTAATGTTCTGTAATTTTAACAATATGCAGTATGTATGTTTCCTGTATACCCAATTGTAAATCACTATTGAATATGATGATACCATAATAATAACATTCTAAATTATAATAACAAGATTCTAATTGTAGGTGGAGGAATCAGAGGCGGACTGACAACTCATGGGGCCCCCGGGCAATAGGGGATCATGGGGCCCCTGTGTCCTTGCCCAAACTCAAAAAAGCCTATGAAAAAGGTACCAGGGGCATCTCATGGGGCCCCCTACTGACCCCGGAAGTCGGGCAGTGCCCAAGTTTCCAAATGGTCAGTCCGCCCCAGTAGAACATGCTGCATTTTTTCTGACCAGAGCCATACTGGAACATGGCAAACTGCATCAAAACTGCACCGGAACTGTATGTGATGTGAACTGTAAGCAAACACGTATCTGGAATGTATCTGGAGTGCATTTTTGTAGTGTGAACTGGCCCTAAAGCTTTAATTCAGCAGGAGGTGTAATGGATCTCTGCAGAGACACTACTGCTTCCACATACAGAGCAAAGGCCCTTCTCTGCATCGTGCAGGCAGGGCACAGGTTCGTAAAAAAAAAAAAAAGAACTGTTAGACTTTGTATGCCTTTGAATTTACCTGGAATACACTCTCCAGCCACTTTATTAGGTTCACCTTGCTGGTACCAGGTTAGATCCACTTTTGCCTTCATACCTGCTATAATTCTTAGTGGCATAGATTCAACAAAGTGTTGGAAACATTCCACAGAGATTTTATGTCCATATTGACATGAGTTACTGTAGCCTTTCTATCACCTTGACCCAGTCTACCAATTCTCCTCTGACCTTTGACATTAAAAAGGCATTTCCGTTCACACAGCTGCTTTTCCACTGAATATTTTCTCTTTTTCGGACCTTTCTCTGTAAACCCTAGAGATGGTTGTGAGTGAAAATCCCAGTAGATCAGTGGTTTTTGAAATATTCAGACCAGCCCATCTGGCACCAACAACCATTCCACGATCAAAGTAACTTAACTCCCCTTTCTTCCCCATTCTGATGTTTGGTTTGAACTTCAGCAAGTTGTCTTCACCACGTCTAGAAGCCTGAATGCATTGGGTTGCTGCCATGTGATTGGCTGATTAGTAATTTGTTCAAAGTTCAAAGAGGAACTTCAGACTGAAAAAGAAACTTGCAAGCAGGAAGGTTTCCTATTGCAGTATAGACATACTGTTGGGAAGATTTACTAAAACTGGTCCACACAGAATATGGTGCTGCTGTGCACAGCTTCTAAGGCCGGTCATACATGGGTTGATTTCCGCACGATTTTTTTCGTTCGAAAATCGGACCTAAGAATAATCGGCTGATTTTCGCTCTGTTAGTGGGGCAATGGCACCGGCCGATTTTCGTGGTTCCGCCAGGGGCGTATTTACCACAAGGCAAACAAGGCAGTTGCCTAGGGAAGCATTTTTCAGGGGGGCAGCAATGCCCCCTGGAAGAACGGACACTTGCGGCATGGGGACCAGGTGGGAGCTGAGAAAGGCTTGATGGTATATGCAGAGCCCAACTTTCGTTCCCAGGGATGTCCAGAGCTATAAAGGTGAGTGACTTTCTCTCTGGGTGGGGGATAGGGTGTTGTTGGTCAAAATGTCAGGTGGGTAGACGCTCGTCGCATACTTCTCTTTCATATGTTGTTCAGTGGGAGCACGACCTGGGAGTGGATGTGGATCCAGAGGACTGGAATAGGGCCTGGTCGCTTGTAGGTAAATGCTCTTTTAATACGACCACGCTGGAGGTGGCCCACAAGGTGTTGTTTCGTTGGTATTGGGTTCTGGCTCGTTTGGCACAGGCGAACCCTGCAGTGATCGATGCTTTCGGGGTTGTGGCCATCGTGGTGATGTATTGCATATCTGGTGGTCATGCCCGAGGCTGCTTTGTTTTTGGTCTTGTGTGTTTGGCCTCCTTTTCACCTTGTTCCATCTTTCTATACGACAGGATGCTCGGTATGCTTTGCTTCATTGTCCCTTACCGGGCCTCTTGGCTCACCAGCAGAAGTTGGCTTCCTATTTGTTTTTTTTCGGTCTCTAGAACAATTGCTAAGGCCTGGAAGAGCCCGTTTGTCCCTCTTCAGGGGGTGCGGGATCGTATGACCGCTATGATGCTCAATGAACATATGTCGAGTATCTGCAACGACTCCCAATATAAATTCTTGAAAATATGGGAGCCGTGGTTGCAATATTCCTTTCCCACCGAAAGCATCGATCACTGCAGGGTTCGCCTGTGCCAAACGAGCCGGAACCCAATACCAACAAAACAACACCTTGTAGGCCGCCTCCAGCGTGGTCGTATTAATGGGGGGATGTGATGTTGTTCGACTTTGGCGTTCTTGGATCCCTGCTCTTGGTTTGGCTATCTTTTTTTCTTTTGTACTTCTCCTTCCTTTCCCCCCCTTTTTTTTTCTCTGTTTGCTTTGGTGTGGCAGTGGATAGTTGCCTTTAGTCTGAGTTATTATCAGTGTTATATTTATGTTTTGTTATTTAAGTGCCATTGATGGCCCCCGCATGGGCGTATCTTTTGCCCTGTTGGTGTTAGAGCACTGATTTCTCTAATTTCTACTTTCTCTATGTGCAATTGATAGCCCCTGCATGGGCGTGATTTGTTGCTCCTGTGTTAATTGTTATACGTTAATAAAAACCATTGAAATACAAAATGTCAGGTGGGGGGGTGTATCCGATTTTTGTTTTGCCTAGGGCAGCACAAAACCTAAATACATCACTGGGTTCCTCCCAATTTTGTTTATCGGGCATGCTGGAAAATTCATGAAAATGGCCAATTTTTTAAATCATTGGTGGAACCATCGGATTACAGAACGAACAATGTTTTCGATATTCGATCCAACAATCATTCGAAATACGACCCATGTATGGCCTGCTTTACTTCTACTTCATCAATTAAACTTTGAAAATAAAACCTGGAAGCCGATTGGTTACTATGTACAGCTGTACTGGTGTGCACCATTGCTAGTAAAGCTCCCCCCTTTGTTTCGTGTGCAATAAAACATTCTTACCATCCTGCTTGCATGTTTCTGTAGCTGCACACATGACTAGTGCACCCGAGATAGGTTCATCCAGACCCCACTACACCACCATTATCCTTCCATACCAATCCCCTTTACTTATTATACTTACAGAAAACATAACACCAATTTTGGAGTAAAATGGCCAACACGGCCTTTTATTAACAAATCAAGTTTAAACACATCAACCATTCCTTATAACAGAAACATAAAGAGTTGTCATTGGTCTTCAAAGGCACCCCCAAAACGATCTGAAATGCACCTGCGGACAATCATATTACACTAGGCCTCCAGCCGCAACCAACCAGCTCGGAGACAACCATACCGTCCGCAGTGCAGCACCACCACCTTCCAATTAAACCTTGCTTAACTGGAATGTCCCCGGGCACACCATACCAACGATGGGTCCCACACCATTTTTGTACCTCCGAGATAAGAACCACCTCCAAAGACCAACAACCGCCTATGAACCGAAATAATAACCCCCCTCACACCCCGGGAGGAACACAATACTCACCAAACAGGGAGGGTGGGAGGGAAGCTCTCTCTCCTACGTCCAGCTCCGACTGACGCCCCTCACCAGAACACCCCACCCTAAGGTGCAGAAGACCCCACCTACACTCACCCTCTACCAATCAGATCCCCCAGCTATCCTTTACAAACCCCCTAGTACTATCATTAACCCTTTCACGTCTTCCTTCCCACTCCGGGCCTAGTCATGCCTGCCCTGCGCTAATTCTTTTCTTCTTTTTCCGCTACGGGCATTTCTATCTCTGCAGACATTGGTGCCAGGATGAATGAACCAACCTGTGCATGCGTGGGAGTTACGGTCCATCATCCCATACCGGCCAATTGGGCTGGTCGAAGATGCTGAACCCAGAAGAAGATCACTTTAAGTGAGTTGTCTGTTCAGTTCTCTGGACAATATAATAAGATACAAATCTAAGGGAAGGAGGGTATATGCTGGAAAGTTCCGGAATTTAAGAAATTCCTAGTGTAGCGTGAAATCATTACCGTAGTTGAATTCAACACGGGTTAATTACACATACTCAATAATTTTTCAATCTCATCTTCTTCGGCATAATAACCCAATTATACATTGATGCATTACATCTTCCTCCAGCAATAATGAATTTTCCACTTCTCATCTGCATTTTTCTTTACACGTCAGATGGTTTTTGATGATATATATTTATTCTGATCCAAGAAAAAGTGCTCCTGTTCTTCGTGCCTCAGTAAACAAGTGTATGTGGTTAGTAAATGGCGCTGTGCTCAGACTGTCTTTAGACAACCTTGGCGTGCTGATGATGGACAGACAGGACTTATTTCTACTTGTCGTAATAAAGGCTTAATGGGAGAGGAAAATGTAACTTCATGATAAAGGTTAAAGCAGAATTCCAGCCAAACTGCTAAATACACCGCCGAAAAACAGTAAGTCAACTGCTGAAATATTTTTGATTATGTTCGGTCGGTCTTGTGATTCACACAACCATGCTGTTCTGATTAGCCAGGAGGGTGACACCGTTATTTCCGGTTGCAGGTTTACAGAATGATCTCTGAGGCCTTGTTTACACATGTGGAGTCCTCTGAAGAGCAATATGTGTTAGGAATGCTCTTCAAAAGGGCATTTGACATATGGTGAGGAGGTGTTATATCTTCTCTTCACCACCTGTTTAAATCCTGCATGAGTGCACCGTAAATACCTGCATTGCATGTGATTTTGGGGAGCCCCTATTCAGTTGAATAGATTGAGTTCCATGGGTGGTGCTGCTCACCAAACACAACAACACGGATAATTTCTGCCACCTTGCAATGCAAAGCATTGCAGCTACAGCATATGTAACCCTCCAACTTATAGCAGGAATAGGTCTGGAACAGGGTTGGACTGACAACTCATGGGGCCCCCAGGCAATAGGAGATCATGGGGCCCCTGTATTTATATGTTTGGAGAGAGGGTAGTGTTGGGTTTTTGATTAGAGGGAGGGTTAGTCTTAGGGTTTGGAAGGGGGGGGGTAGTGTTGGGTTTTTGATTACAGGGAGGGTTAGTATTAGGGTTGGAGGGGTAGTGTTGGGTTTTTGATTACAGGGAGGGTCAGTGTTAGGGTTTGGAGGGGGGGGGTGTAGTGTTGGGTTTTTGATTACAGGGGGGTTAGTAATAGGGTTGGGGGGGTAGTGTTGGGTTTTTGATTATTACAGGGAGGGTTAGTATTAGGGTTGGGGGGGGTAGTGTTGGGTTTTTGATTACAGGGAGGGTCAGTGTTAGGGTTTGGAGGGGGGGGTAGTGTTGGGTTTTTGATTACAGGGGGGTTAGTAATAGGGTTGAGGGGGTAGTGCTGGGTTTTTGATTACAGGGAGGGTTAGTGTTAGGGTTTGGAGGGGGGGTAGTGTTGGGTTTTTGATTACAGGGAGAATTAGTCTTACGGTTTGGAGGGGTGGATACAGGGGCGGACTGACAACTCATGGGGCCCCCGGGCAATAGCAGATCAAGGGGCCCCTGTGTCCTTGCCCAAACTCAAAAAAGCCTATGAAAAAGGTACCAGGGGCATCTCATGGGGCCCCCTACTGACCCCAGGCCCTCGGGCAGTGCCCGAGTTTCCAAATGGTCAGTCTGCCCCTGGTCTGGAACAAATATCAATGTCCACGTTGTGGCACCATCCCTAAAATATATTCCAAATGGACAACAAAACCAGAGTGGTCACATCCTGAAATCAGGGTGGTCGTGTCCTCTCTCCAGTGAGATGGGATTTGTGTGTCCCTGAAAAACGGGAAGGAAACCTATTTGAATACAATACAAGGTACTAAAATGTATACAGTTTTATTGGTTCGTCAATTAAAAGTGAAGAAAACCTCACAGTTAAAACCAAGCAGTCTATAGGTGTCACATCAGCATGCGGTTAACAATGGTATTGCAAAAATACATCATGAGCGTATAGGATCAATGCGTTTCGCTGTAATTGCTTCCTCAGGATCCACACTTCTGATGAACCACTGCAATATACAATATACAAGCATAACAAAGAAAAAAAACAAACAAATATAATATACATATCAAATAACCTGATGAAGTTATTAGACAATACTTAAGTATACCCTCCTTCATTCAAAAGGGGAAGGTCTGCTGTTCCTCCCCCCCCCCCCCCTCTGCAATATTTGGCACTTTTTTTTGTTTGGGGGTGGGGGTACCTGGTTTTGACAGGTGCGCACTCCAACTTCTGCTCAGATTGCCTAGGCCAGGGGTGTAAAAACTGCTGGCCCTCCAGCTATTGCCAAACTACAAGTCCCGTGAAGCTTTGCAAGGATGACAGTTACCAGCATGACTCCCAAAGGCAGAGGCATGATGGGACTTGCAGTTTTACAACAGCTGAAGGGCAGCCGGTTTGACAACCCTGGCCTTCCAATTGGAAGTTCTCCCACCCCCACCTTCCTGTAGTCTTCCGGGACATGTCTCAGGTCCCAGAAGACTGTGGGACTCTTCACAAAGCACAGTGTGCTTGTGCATGCGCAGTGGGCAGCCGGATGTGAAGTCGGTGGAAGAAACGGCTCAGGTGAGCACAGCACTATATCCTGGGACAGGTGAGTTTATTAAAAGTCTTCAACTATGGATGAATATCTCCAAGGCTTTCTGCACCTTCTGATCCACCACCCATTCTGCCTGACGGCCCCCAGATCCTAACTGTCCTTGTTCAAGACAGGTTTCTATCCCTACCTAGACTTCCCAATCCATGGACCACCTTGTGGTGCAGATCATGCTATATATATATATATAGTGTAGCATATCTATATCCAAAATGGTTGCCATAATCTCATGGGAAGAGGCGGCTTCCCCAAGATGGTCCTTGGAGCTCATAGCAGAGGACAGCTTAATCCCATGCAGTGCTCTTCCTCAATGCAGACGATCAACCCCTTAGGTTCCACACTGAGTATAACAAGCATGCTTTACAGCGGTACAGCAGGGAAACGAGGAAAGCACTTTAGCAACTAAGATCCATATATCATCTTCCAATACAGCTAACTTTACAGAGCGATTGATTGGCATCACCCATCGGCAGCTAGTGAAGTACACCATCGGATCTTGCCTACAAGAAGTCTATGGTGGCAACACTACTACTCCAAAGGTACAGTACAGTAAGTCAGGGTTTCCCCTCTACGGCAGGACGTGTGTTACTGGTATGATCACCAGGTGAAAAAGCCCCTCCCCCCCAAAAGAAAACAAATGCATCCACCATATTTTTTGGACTGATACGTTTAATCTTATGTTAATATATACTTTAAAGTGCACCTGTGCCCAGACTGTGGAC